TGGGTGACCCACAGAGGTCCCTTCCAACCCCAAACATGCTGTGATTCTGTGAAATCTCTCGCTTGCTTTAGCCAGTGCCACGCAGAGCAACACCCAGCCAGGCTCAGGGTACCGTGCCATCCACCTCGCAGCCCACCCTGTGCTGAGACCTGGTTTGTCCCACAGAGCTGTCCCACCAGCAATGAAGCAAGCCACCACAAAACGAGTTTTAGCAGTCTCCAGGAGCGGGTTGCACAATTTGCAAGCACAGGACTCGTACCATCAGCACAGGACTGAAAAGGCCGTTGTGTAACGCAGCTGGAGGCAAATGCTGGAGGAAAGAGCAACGCCCAGCAATTCTGCACAGAGCCACCGTAAGGGGCTTGCAGCTAAACACGCAGCCTCGGACTGCCTTTGAACTAGCAGAACGAACCTGATGAGGCTACAGCTCTGCATCCTTACAGCTGGGCAACCTCATTAACCCTCATTATAAACTGCTCCAACCACACCCAGATAGAATCCACCCCCACGCCTGCTAAACCATGTTCTGAAGTGCCACAGCATTTTTTGAACCCCTCCAGGGATGGGGACTCCCCCACTGCCCTGGGCAGCCTGGTCCAAGGCCTGACCACTCTTTCAGGAAAGAAATTTTTCCTGATATCCAATCTGAACCTCCCCTGATGCAGCTTGAGGCCACTGCCTCTCATCCTTTCACTTCTTGGGAGCCGATGCTGCACAGAGTTCTCAGAGCTAAGAAAACACCGCAGCAAACAACCACTCCCTGACACAGGAGACAGTTAAAAACCAAAAACAAACCAGAAACCCCCTCCTCTTCCACCTCCCACTACTCTCTCCCTCCACTAAAAGCTGAGGCCTTCAAATTTAAGGTTTCACCTCTCTTCTCATAAAGACTTGAGAGCATATACTCAGCAGGCCCCAAACGCTGCTGCCTGCTGGAGGGTGACTCTGCAAGAAGCAAATAAAGGAGCACGTACATTCTGACCAGGTCATGAAAGCTCACTGTTAGGAAGTCTCACTCACACCCTGGCAGTATGTCAGGGCCATTCTAGGGGAAAACAGTCCAAACAAAACAACGTATTTCATTTCACAGGCAGCTCAGGAAACTTAACCCAGAGCTGCTGCATAATCTACCTTTCGGCAACGCCCAGTGGATTTAAAATGATTTGCTGGCAATTTGAGAGCATTGGGGATTTCTGAGCTCAACCGGTACCAGCTTCCAAACTCTCTCTCCACCACTTCAGGGCAAGGTGCCCGAGACCTTCAACTTCAGCGACCTGATGAGCTACAAGATGTAAATACCCGATTTCCCCTTTCCATCAGCTTGGGTGTTCAACAAGCGCTGGGCTTTGATACTACAGCTGAGGAGCAGAGCTGTTTATTTGTCAGTCTGAGCTATAAGAACTATTCAGGCAAGGTGGTCAAACCCAACTTCACAATATTTTGCAGTGTCCTAACTCGAGAGCTCCAAGCTGTTGACTTTCATCTGCTTTCTTCTATAAAAGGCACACGCCAGAATCAGACCTGGGCACAGCAGTAAACAGATCAAGAGAACGCTGTGGAGCTCCCTGCTGAAGGAGAACTGATTGCACCCCATGAAATTGCCTCCTGATTAATGCTGTCTCTCTCCTTCAAAGCTTCCTATAATCAGTTAAAGCATCACCCCAGTTAAAGCTGCTTTTGCCCGGACGCTGAGAGCGAACACGAGGATACTCTGCAGAAAGCCTTCTGGCACTGGCTGCTATTTGAACAAACATGGAATGCCTCTAACGCTTGCAGGTAATTTGTTTTTTTTGTGTTCCTCCTACGTACTTATCTGGTCTGAGCTAGGATCCCAAACAGCTCTAGGATTCCAAACAGATCTTCAGAAAGTTCAAGTATCCTTTAGCAAGCCAGGGTAATCACTGGTATAAAGCACCACATTTGCTGGCTCATAAAAGCCAATTCACATTTAAGCAAGTGTCCAGTGGTAAAATTTATTCAGGTAATTTTAACTGAAGCCTGAGTACCACTGATCCATTTTATAAGTGAGAATACAGCTACGGACATCTCCTCCAGCTGAACACTGGCATGTAAGACAGAACGGACACAGGAGCTTCCCTTGCACTTCTCAGGGTAGGCAGCAGCACCTTCTCTTTTTCTTTATTTTCTTTAGTTCGAACTCAGGAGCTATGGGCCAGGAGGGTGCTCTGGCCATGCTCTGCCTGGGGAAACCAAGCTCAGCATGCTGCGACTGCATGGCAGTACCAGTTGGCACGGCAGTTTCCATTCTGACTCCTGGCTGCAGCTGCTCAGACCTTTCAGAGGAGGCTGTGGAGGGTTTGCCCCTCCATTTAGTCACCTTCCAAGAAAGACCCCCTTAGTGAAGGAACGGCAGAAGCAAGAAATTATTCACTAGCCCACTCGGCGCTTGGAAGTGCTACTTGGTCTGCGGCTGGCAAGGAATTTCTCCACCCAACTTGAAGTCAGTTGGCAATGCAGAGCGCCTAAGCTGTGGGGGTTGGCTTCTTCTCAAGATCTTGTCACAGAGATTAACATCTGCAGGCTGCATAAATGTAGGCATCAGTCATCCATTCTCCTTTCATTATGGGTTGCAATCTGCCCCTCTGACATGATAAATGAGGAATGCAGGTCCTTATCTGTATAATTAGCTTACCCAAGAGAGCCAGCAGGCCTGCCCTCTATGCTAACCTTTCCCTATTCACTTAGCTGTAGCAGGAGCCTGACATTTCAAGGTCCCCGTGCACATGCTTCTAAGGCAGGAATGGAGACTGCACTGCAGAGCGTGGCAAGGACTTTGCAGTCCCTATGCTTTGCCCCCACTTGACTGCATCGATGGCTTCTCCACCCATTCCAGTAAGGGGGAGAGGTTAACTGACAGGCAGCAGGATCAAGCAGCTGAGAGGCATCATGTCTGACCGAGTGGGTCCACCAGCTGATCAACCAGACCCATCTTCTTTGCTCTGTCAGCACGGATGTTCCTCCCGGTCAGCATCATATCAAAGGCAGCAGGAACTCCCACCTGCAAGGGCAGAAACGGGATTTCAGAATGGGAGTGTGCCACGCAGCGGCAGAGGCTATCGAGTAAAGTGTTTCTCCTACTTACCATCTTTGGCAGCCTCTGAGTACCCCCTGCCCCTGGCAGGAGACCCAGTAACACTTCAGGTGTTCCCAAGATGGTTTTCTTGTCCTTTGTCGCTATTCTGTAGTGACAGGCAATGGCAACCTTAAAAAAGGAAAAGAAAACTAAAGGTTTTCCTGTGAAAGACCACAGAAGAACTGGGCATCCACCACAAAGGTCTCTCCTACACACTGCCTCCTCGGCTTTCCTCTCAACCCTACCCCAATTCCCTAATTCCACTGTCTCCAAATTCCCTCTGCGCTCACTGATGGCTAATTCCAGCAAGAGGAGCACACATAGGGCAGATGACAGCAACCAGCTACCACACGAACATGAAACCACCAAACTGAGCCAACCTATTTTTAAATCTCACCTAGACCATCAAGGGCTAAATTCATTCACTTCACCGAGGGCATGACCCCGTTTAGAGATCCGCCACGATACCTGGCTTATCCCTGGATCACCAAGTCCAGATCTGCCGCCGCAGCGCTTGTAAAAAGCTACGACTGCTTGAGAAACCAGTACGCAACCGAAAGACTCCATTCCCACAAAGTTCTTCTGTTTCAGTAACAACTTTGCTCCAGCAATCACCACGTAGTCTTTCAGTTTACGAAATCCTAGGTGGAGATTATGAAGCAAATACAGCAGCCAGCCGAAGCGGCCAGCGACGGAGGTTCCCCGCACGCATCCCCCTCACAACAACCTTTTAAAGAACAGAAGTTGCTGGGATACGAGACTCAGTTCATCTCAAAAGCAGCAGTTTCCAACCTGGACTCTGCCAGCAGCATTTATCCAGACCCAATGCTTGCCAGAAATGGCCGTTCTTCCCTGTGACGCTCTCATCTAAATATCAGCCCATGCAGATTCATATTTGATTAGCTGTCTCTTAACAGAAGCAGAAAAATTAGCATGGCAGAACCCTGAAGCACAACCAAGCCATTAAGCTGCGACAAACTCGTTTGAACGGACGTAATGAACCCACGCCAGGTCTCCAATCCCTCTCACACCACGCAGTCCTGCAGGCATCGTCTGGGTAGTTCAGAGACCCAGCGCTATCAACTCCCACCGCTGCTTGTCAGACCCGGAGCTGTTCAATACCTCCAGTCCTCCTCCCAGGCAGGAGCCACTGATGGCAGCAACTATGGGCTTTGGAGACTGCTCAATTTTTTCTAGCATCTTCTGTCCTTCCTGAGAGAGCTGAGTCACCTCCTGAACAGTCTTGCAGGCTTCAATCATGCTGCGGTGAGGCAGAAAGGCTGATCAGAACTGGCAAAGCACTGATAAAAAACAGCAGTAAAACGGCGAGTGCTTCAAGGAGCTTGTTCCCCGTTTCCCACAAAGCTCCAGTGACTGACAGACAGGCAAGAGCTATTTAGTCTCACTCTTACACTAACAGACAACGCAGGAAGACTACCAGATTCAGTGGGTTAAGTCTCTGCGTGCTGACACTGGGCTGCGCCTGCAGGCAGTGAATGAGTTTCCTTGTGTCAGAGCTTTGAAAGCCTCTGGGGGAGAGGAGGAAGGGTCACAGGAAGCCTCAAAGCCCTTGCCAGGAAGGGTGGAGGGGAGAGCCCAGGATCACTTTTTAGAGGAGCAGATGGCCAGTGCTCTGATGTTTTTCCCCGCCAATTAGAGACTCCCCGTGCCAATTATTCCGACGGAGGCTAGCAGCATTTGGCAAGCAGGCGCAGGTCAGGAGGGTGTTGAGACCAGCAGACACCTCTTAAAACACAACCTGTCCTTTCGCTCTGCTTACCGGCTCTAGCTACTGCCTCCTTCCCACCACAACACACATCAAGTCTCTGCCTCCAAACGGGGCAAGCCAAAAAGGTAACAAGGTTTTGAAGGGCCTATTTGTAACTCACCTTCTTTCCTCAGAGCTTTCTGGCTTTTAATGTCTTTAAACAACTATTCTGTCCTGCCCCATGTCAGGACTAGGGGCCAAAGGCACTCTGGAGCCCACTGAGAGCACCCACATGGGTCGTCCCATACTAAATTGCTTGGGAGGCCGCTCAGATGCTGCACATGGCAGAGGGCCGAATCCTGCCTAACCAAAGGGCTACGCTGGCAGACTGCCAGGCGCTCCAACCCAGCCGAAATGAAGTCCTGCATGTAAATTATCTGCTCCTGTTGTGTCCCAGACCAAGGGACAACGCTCAGCCCGGAGCCAGGAAGGGTTTCCTTGGCTGCACCCTCAGCACGCAGGAAGGAGTGACCAAGAGTTACAGCCAAATGGGGTTTAACGACTTGCTGTGTTCCTCTTTTATCAAGGTCCTAACTTCATTTGAGCAAGCTGGGCATCCTGCGTGCACGGATTTCATTCCCAGCCTCTGCCTCGCCCCCAGGGAGCTGTCAGGGACAAACTGCTCGGGCTTCACAGCGCGCCAGACCACTGGGCCTGGATGCTGGACTTCAGAGAAAGCTCCATCCGTGCCGCTTCCAAGGTCCCCGTACTCACTCGATATCTGCTCCAGCAATGAAAGTGCCTGGCTTTGAAGAGATGAGGACGGCACTTTTGACAGCTTCGTTGGCCCAGATCTCATTCATTACATCTGTAAACTCCGAGTTCAGTTGTCTGGATAGAGTGTTTACCTGCAGGCAGCAAATAAGCATTGTGAACAGGGAGCTCAGGAGACAGCAGACTTCAACTTCTGATCAAGTACTGCACTCAACCACCATACCATCAGAAAGCCTGCACAGAAGACAGACTGACAACAAAAAGCCAAAGCCAGTCGTAGGCCTAAACAGATTTTCCAAGCCAGTGGGAGCAGCAGCTCTCCAGCCTTTCAAGATTTGCCTGCTGAAAATTAAAGGACTAGGCCATCCAGGAAAATTCGCCCAACAGCCAGAGCGCTGCATGGCACAATCGTAACGCTTCTGGGGCACTCAAATTGAGCCCAGATTTGCTATAAAAGTTAGTTCATCTTGTGTGATAATACAGCAAGAAAACCTGCAGCGGGTCATCAAGTAATCTGTTATGAAGAAGTTCCTCCTTAACCTGACCAACAGTGGGTTTGTGACCTCACAGATTTTTATGAGCTTCTAAGCTGTTTTTTTCATATGCTTTGGACACTCTCCCTGAATCCAAGATTTTCACAAGATTCAGCAACACCAAGCGCCTGTGAGAGAGACAAGTTAGCTGGGTGCATACAAAACATCTCCACGAGGCATTTTCAGACATCTCATTAAATGCCCGAGCACTCATTCCCCTGTTTCCGCTCTGTTCTCAGCTTTGAAAGTCTGCAGGTTAGGAAAGTCCTTAGTCGTAAATCAGCATTTTCAATGCCTTCTCCACAGGACTGCTGACCCCACCGTGGACAGGCCGATTGACCACGGCCAGCTCAAACAATACCTTTGAATTTGGTGTGTTGAAACGCACGACTGCGACATCTCCTTTGATATCGTAGCTAACGTGGGTTCTGGCTGGAAACAAACAGAAAAGTCTCATCAGCTTCTTCGCAGCGGATTTTAAGCAAGAAAATGAGCTTGCCTAGAAAAGCTTTGCACTTACTCTGAAGAGCAGCGGAGGCGGAGATGTTACGGCAAGCATAACCTAGGGAAAAGATGTCGCAGATGTTAAAGGAATTCTTGGTTGTCTCAGCTTAACTCTGCTTTATCCACACATCCTCCCATCTCCCCTCATCTGCCGAGTCCAGCACTCTGGAAAATCCCACGTCTGGGCCGGTTCCTTCTCTTACGGCTTGACCTGTGCCACCACCAGAGCTCAGCAGACTCCGCGCTACCGAAGTGACCTTCACAGCTCCGATTCCACACCGCAGCTTCCAACACCGGCAGTGCCAAACCGCGGGCGAAAGAAAGTCAAATCCTTCACAGAATCACAGAATCACAGAATAGTAGGGGTTGCAAGGGACCTCTGTGGGTCACCCAGCCCAACCCCCTGCCCAAGCAGGGTCACCCAGAGCAGGGGGCACAGCACCGCGGCCAGGCGGGGCTGGAATATCTCCAGAGAAGGAGACTCCACAGCCCCTCTGGGCAGCCTGGGCCAGGGCTCCGTCACCCTCAGAGGGAAGAAGTTCTTCCTCGGGTTCAGCTGGAGCTTCCTCTGCTTCAGTTTGCCCTCAGCCTCTCCTCGTAGTGGAGATGCTCCAGCCCCCTCATCATCCTTGTAGCCCTTCTTCCTGGAGAGCTGACGAGCGCCGAAGCGAGCGGCACGCAGGGGTGTTCTGCCGCGCAGTCCCACGCTTCTTCACACGCCAAACCACAGACCCTGCCACGCTTCGGAGCGTTTCACGCCCGCAAGTCAACTTCTCCGCAAATCAAACAGAACTGCCCGAGAGCGATGCTGTAAATACACGCTCTTGTGCCCAGTTAATGGTGCCACCCCAAGCACTGCTTCTCAGATCACGGGCTCTGCAGCTGGTGAGCCACTAAAAGAACACACAAAATATTTATTCTCGCCTCGATCTATCAACAAAATACTTGATCCATCTTGATAACTACATATATATACTATATATAGTATATATATGTATATATACTACATATATGTGTATATATATATCAATATACTACACCTAGACAAACCTGTCTTGTTTCGAAGCACTCTGAGAACTCCAACCCTGGTAGGAACCAGTTCTGTTCGCGAGCGAAATGCCACTTTTCTGACTCACAGATCCCCCTGTTCTGCTGAGGAATTGTATTTGGCCTGACAGTATCTCGCTACGTGAATGAATCTCAGCTCCATTCAAGTGACCTTCATCTTGACCGAGAGGATCCTCTAACACAGGTCTGGGCTGAATCACTGCCAAAGCTGCCCCAAGCCTGAGATCTAGTGGAAGTGTCACTTCTCAAGCACCACAGGCACACCGCTCGAGCGGAACGCAGCCAGCGGAGGTTTACTGTTCAACGCTGCTAACGCGTCCAGGAATGAAACATTCCCCTTCCCAGCAGCAAGAAGGTGGAAAATCCAGTCCAGGGAGAGCAAACTCAAAAGCCCAGCAGCACCCCACCAGCTGGTGCCTTCCCCGTCCCCGCAGCCCCGTGACGCAGGCTCCGGGCCGCAGCTCTGCTGCCCTTTAGCCCTTTTTCCACTCTGTCTCTGATTCTGACAGCGGGGCCTGACCTTTGTACTGCATTCCCCAAGCCCAGCATACACGGCGTGACGCTGTGGGGATGGAAATCCAGCGTCCGTCTGTCCCGGTGGACAGGTCTGTGAGTGCGTGTCATGTGCTCACAACACCATTTTATGAACTGGTTTCCACTCCAAAGCTACTTTGAAGTAATCTTTGACTAGAACAACACCCTGATCGTAACTACAGAACCACAGAATGTTTCGGGTTGGAAGGGACCTCTGGGGATCCCCCACTCCAACCCTCTGCCCAAGCAGGGTCACCCAGAGCAGGCTGCACAGGACCACGTCCATCCAGGGTTTGAATATCTCCAGAGCAGGAGACTCCACAGCCTCCCTGGGCAGCACTGCAGATGGGGCCTCCCCAGGGCAGAGCAGAGGGGGAGGAGAACCTCCCTCGCCCTGCTGCCCACACTTCTCCTCATGCACCCCAGGATCCCATTGGCCTTCTTGGCACCCAGGGCACGCTGCTGACTCATGGTCACCCTGTGGTCCCCCAGCACTCCCAGTCCCTCTCCGCAGAGCTGCTCTCCAGCAGCTCAGCCCCAGCCTGTACTGGTGCCTGGGGTTGTTCCTCCCCAGGGGCAGGACCCTGTACTTGCCTTTGTTGAACCTCATCAGGTTCCTCTGCGCCCAACTCTTCAGCCTGTCCAGGACTGCTGTAGCCAACACTAATTTTCCTGAACTTTTTGTGTGCTGAAGTCAGGTGCTCCTGAAACGAAACGCCAGTGCTCATTTCCCACAAAACCGAGCGTGGTCTGACAACAACTCCCCTGCTAACAGATGCCTGACGCAGAGTACGATGCGCTTTCAACGGCAGTACTTTAACTCCATGAAAGCCACACAGCTCCACTACTTCAAAAAGAAGACGAGGACGGAACTACCTCACTGACTTCATTCACCTCAATCACACAGAATCCCACCATGGCAGGGACCTCTGTGAGTCACCCAGCCCAACCCCCTGCCCAAGCACGGTCACCCAGAGCAGGGGGCACAGCACCGCGGCCAGGCGGGGCTGGAATATCTCCAGAGAAGGAGACTCCACAGCCCCTCTGGGCAGCCTGGGCCAGGGCTCCGGCACCCTCAGAGGGAAGAAGTTCTTCCTCGGGTTCAGCTGGAGCTTCCCAGGCTTCAGTTTGTGCCTGGTGCCCCTTGTCCTATCGCTGGGCACCACTGGAAAGAGTCTGGCCC